CTGAGCACAGACCACTGTTAAAAGGACCTGATGAGTGTATGTGCAATAAGGTATAAAACTACTTTTCCACAGGAATCACTGAATTGAGGTAATGGCACGAGGCATCTGCACGGCTAACATAATTACTAATCAGACTAAAGGGATAACTGAGGGAAATATGTTTGAAACAAACTGCTGGACTGATGGTGCTATACCATTATAGCTGAGGTAACTGAGCTCCTCTAGAATGTAAGTAAAGTAAATTAGTATTGAGCTGCATGTAAACAAACCTACTTCATTATTTTGACAATGGCTGCAGTTGTACATGGTTGTTTTGGCACGTTGTCACATGGTATCTCATTGCTGCTGACTGGGAGTGATGCACACACGTGTATTAATGTCATACCCTTCAGATGCAACACATCTGTAATCATATTCAGGATGAAAAACTGCTAAGGAAGAGAACAGTCTTCGCTTCTCAAGTGTAACAATCTGCTTTAACAGTTTAGCCGAACATTTTTGAGAAGCGCGTCAAAGCAATCTCAAGGGCACTGAGTTTGTAAACTTAAAGAATGTAAAATATTTGTGCTCTAAGCAACAGTAACACACTGGATAAAAGAAAAAAGTCAATTCTGTGTGTTTGAGGGAATGTGAGAGTACACAGGTCTACATGTCTGGAGTGATGACAAGACTCATGTACTGTCTGGCAAGTGAAAAGGCCTTACTAGTTCCTGAGATATGGCGAGGCGTGGTCCTGCTGGGACAGGGCTGGCTTGGCTGCTCGAAAAAGTTGCAGAAAACAATTTTTCAGTCTAGTTATCCGCCGTGTGTTTTCGCACAGGATGGAATTTCCCTGTGGGGTCTGGAATGAACCACTTGTCCCACACGTCAGGATAGGAGGACGTTCTCCCCCAAGGCTTGTAGTGTCCGTTCCAATGGAGGAGTTTGGCAGCTTTCACAAACTGGGGGGAGTAACGGTTTCCAGCGCCTGTAGTGCCTGTAAAACAAGGTTTGCCATCATATGATAATTTATTTAAGTCACTCTGTCCCTTGTGTTTTTTTTGTTCAAAACATTAAAATCATCAAAACAAAAATTAACCTGAAAACTTTGGCATCCTTCGCAAAGAACAGAGCTACCTAAGAGCTGGGACACATGCCACATCTTTAACCACCTGGAAAATGTGAAGTTGGGCGCTCTGTGCCAACTTTAAAGGGCACAGAGGCAGGTTGCGCCTGATGTTGCTGAGCAACCTCAACCATCACCATATCATAGCCTACTTCCCCAAAATCTAAGGCTTGAAGCTTCTCTTCTTCCAGATGTTTTTTAGGGGTTTATTAAAACATTGTCTGTGGGATAAGTGTAAAGCTTTGGTTAGTTCTGTGCTAAAATATCAACTTCTTCCTTATATTAACCACTGACTTATATTTACTAAAGAAATGGAAGTTATCTGCTGGCTGTGATTGGTTGTTTCTTGTCACATGACATGCAGTGCTCATTGCTGCATTTTACATTTTTAACTTTTTATCTCAGATTGCAGCTGTCCTGCCCTAAAAACAGGCACTTGGGAACTCTTTTGCACTGCAACAGTTTTGCTCTCGCTTTTGAGGGCACCTTCCATGCATCCACATAGACAGCAATGGATTTTAGGGCGCAAAAAATGCGGCATTTGTACAGGTCAAGTTAAGATTGCTAGTGAAATTCAACTGACTAGATGCTGTCACAACAGAAAAATACCTAGAAAACCCCCAAAGTCTGTTAAAGTCTGTTAAAGAAAAAGTTTACCATTTACATACATTTACATGCTGTCATATCTGTCAAAATGTTGAACCTTTTCTTTGCAAACTATAAAAGCTTCTCAAACACTCATGCAGTACAAGTCCTGGGTATATACACATACGATCTCAGAACCCTTTGGCTATTGGCCTGATGACGAGTTAGCCTCTGGGGACAACAGCCAATATTTCAGAGGTTTTGGAGTAGCCAGCAGATATCTGGGTCAAGACTGTCTCTTCTGTGCGACAGTAAATGTTTACAGTTCAATAAGCAACTTAAGACACAAGAATGGAATAAGAGTTGAGAGATGACATCTACCACTGAAAGGCATCTGCATATCAATGCATTTAATCTTAAATATAATAAAAATATATAAAAATACGCTAATAAAAGCTAAAGCTTGCTCAGACATGATTGATTAGTTGATGCTACTCGGACTACAAACGAAAACCAGATCACTTCCAATACCAAAATCTTTTCCCTATGCCTAAAGATTCTACAAACACATGCATATGTCTGTTTATAGATATTAATACTCATATGTCCAGTATTGTGGATACTGTGATGTGTGGGAGTGTAACAAAACCTTGCACAGGGTTGTCCGTGCATAAAATCAATTTGATCTGCAGCCTATGGCTTATTGAAAATAAACTCTTTATGTCTTCTAGTAACTAAGCAGAACTTACCAAGGTGCCTGACGTGCCACATTGGGTCGATCGCGGAGTGACGTTTGTAAAAAACAATGAGGAGTGGGGGGGTGGTGATACTCTCTGCCAGTGTCTTACTGTACAGATCCTCCCTGAAGAAACCAACAAATAAAGTTTAAGAACAGAAAGAGTCCACTAGATTACATTTTTTGTTTAATTAATGTAAAACAGAGAAATAAAATCCAGATTTTTGCCTTCAGTTTTTGTATATTTAGCAAGACAGACTGCTTCATATTCATCCATCTTTTGAGTAACGTACTTTGTGTTGAGTTCCATCCAGTGCTCCAGCTGCTGGGTGATGTTCTGGTTCCGCCACTCAGTCAGGTTGGCGATGATGACGCCTGGGTTGAAGGAGCATGTGTTGGCCCTCATTCCCAGTTTCTTGATAGCGTCCTTCTTGAAGTCCAAGAAACCTATGTAGTTATTCTGTTGGAGAAGATTCATTATTTAATTAAAAGTCACCATATTCACATGGAAACATTCAACATTATGACACTCTTACTTACTCCTTTACTAAAAAACTCATGCAAGAAATGGCCCACCTGATTTCCAGCCCCTCGAATGATGCCCTTAGCGGATGCTGAATCACAGTCATCAGAAAAAGCAGCTGCATGTCCCGATTTGATGTTGGCGTCATAGAGCTCCTGAATGTCCCCTGAGATCCAACACAACAGGCATCAACATGTATAGTTTAAAACTATGCATTAGGTGCGTTAAAAATGAACTATCTGAATGACAAATAGCTGTAAAACAGTCTCTTTAATTTTGCGGCCCAGGTAGTTCTCTTCCTTTATCTTACCTTGTACAATGATATCATCATCCAAATAGATAGCTTTCTCTGCCTCAGGTATGTATACAGGTAGATAAAACCTGGCAAAAGTCAACTGGAAAATAAAAATTTAAACAAAGTTTGCATGAGATGAACATTTGTAAAGAGTAGCATGAATATTTATTCTGGGACAGTGATAAAACATTCTGCAGTCTCACCGGTTTGGTAGCCTCCAGCGTCTGAGGATCTTTAGATATCTTCCTGTTCAGGAGCTCAGGCTTGAAAATGACGATCTTATACTTGATATTTTTTAGCCGTGACTTACTTAGCCATGCACTGTTGGTAAAACGAGGAGAAAAGGTTGTGTTAGAGTCCAACAATGGTGACTGAAATCAAATGACTGACATTTCACAAAGTCCTATGCATTAAATGGCCAAAGGGATATAATGGTATGCTTGGTGTAACAATGCAGAAATGCTCCATTGTCTTACTTGAGGTGTTCCACTGTGTCATTCAGAGTCACTATGGTGAAGACGACATTGGCTTTACTGTTCTGGTAGACACTGTTCATGGCAGCGATCACAGCTCCCAGTCTCTCCTCAGCAGCGGTGATGAGGACAGGGATCTCCTCTCCTTTCCTCACGGTCTCTTGTTTGAGGTCCGGAGCCAGCTCAGATTCAAAGGGAAGAATCATACCTGCATCTGGATACACACATATTTAGGATTTCACAAATTACTTCCATGGTTTAAAAGATGTTGACAACACTACACTTGTTCTTCTGAGGAAGATGTGAACCCCATGTGTAGGTACACATTATTCTCCCCCAGCACCAAGGTCAACATACCTGGGTTTTCTTTGTGTAAAATATCACTGAGGTTGAGAAGATTTCGTTGTACTATGATGAGGAAGGCTACAGCCAGTAGCACAAGGATGATCACGTTTACTGAAAGAAACAATGACAAGCTGATATCAATGATAGGTTTGGTGCAACAGGCCAAAAGAGTCAATGAAGAAACTGCCTCAGTATTGCGGTAAGGAACTTCTCCATTCACACTGCATTACCTAGTCATGATGACAGGCATGCTTCCTCCACACTGACTCACCTTTCCTCAGTGTCATGATGACAACGGCCTCATCCACTCCAACAACACGTCTGATTAAAAAAACATATAAAAATAAGTAAAAGTCTCACAGCTGATCTGAGTGCAGCCAGAGATGAATTAGCTGGCTGGCTAATGTGGACTGAGGTGAACTCTGGCTGCTGCTGGACCGATGCGTGGCGACCGCACTGAAACACAACGGGACCGTCAGCAAACTAATGGCTTTGAACTGTGCTCATATGCTAAAATTTAAAATATATGCAGTGAAGGTGCAATTAGTTATTAAAATAAAACCAGATAGCACTGCTGAAGTAATTCACGCTGAAGCCAAACTGCCAACTCAACATCAACAAGTTTATCCGCCATTGTGATTGCACGTAATAGCTGCCCATGCGTTTGCCTGTTTGTAAAGTTGCAGTAGCATGCTGTTTCCACTAAATAAAAAAATGTTTGTTTAACTTCTTTAGCTATATAATAGTGATAATAGGAAAAAATGTGGGTTTAAACTATAATAGCTAAAAGTCGCTGCACATATTGACAGGCAGTTATTCAGGCAGGCAAAGCTTTCCGCTAACACCAACCTGAACGAGTCAACAAAATGGCGCACTTCACCTACTCCCCAGTGTTTATAGATCTGTGAAGCTGCGCAGCTGACACACTCATAAGCAGCCGGACGGGTCCTTCACTACACGACGTATCTTTTTAAAAACCGGAAGACAAACTGTTTCGGTTTGCACCGTTTACACCAAATTCTGTCCGTATGCTTGTTCATTTTTAAGCGGAAAGATGCTGTCTATATTCAAGTCCATTCCCTCACACATGGTAAGAGATGATAAGCTTATTTAGTGTGGAGCCGCAGAGTTATGCTAGCTACTCACTCATGCTATTTTATCAAGCAAACGGTTGTAGCTAGCTTGTGCGATGGTTACATTGACGTTACATTGTTAACAGCTGCTAGCTCACATTATAATGTCCTTAAAAGCTGCAAGTTAACCCGCCACCTAATGTTTCTGAACCAATGTAGCTTTTAATAGAGTCACATATCAAACAGGAAATGTACCTGTTGTTAGGTGTTGGCTAATATTTTGCCTTGTCTAACTTACATCTTCGGTTAAGCACCGTTAGCTTGTTATTGTAACGATAGCATCGTCAGTCAGTTAATTTTCATCACTCCAGCGTGATGTAACTTGATCCTAAGGTTAGTGCAACATTAAACAAAGCTATCATTATTAGGCCACACCAGCTCATGTACTTATTTTGCACAGACGGACCCAGTACCCTCCTAACCTCAGTCTGTACACTGATTTCGTGTTGTTAATGTTGTCTAATTGTTGTTTCCCTGTCCCTTGTGTTTCAGGATTATAAAGGCCAGAAACTGGCTGAACAGATTTTCCAAGGAATAATTCTCATCTCAGCGGTAATCTCACTTTGACACATGCAAATTAGCCAATCAAAACATCCCACTATAATGACACTGTCAGGTTCATTGATATCATTTTTGTCCTTGAAGGTGATTGGATTCGTGTATGGTCTGATCATTGAGCAGTTCGGATGGACGGTGTACATCGTCCTGGCTGGTTTTGCTGTGTCTTGTGTGGTAAGTTTTGTTTGTTTGTTTTGCTGTTTTGTTTGTGGGAAAGGAACAGCTTTAGATATGTTGTGCACTCGAGATAATTAACTGAGGTGTCTGTCAGTGTGCATGGGTGATTAGACAAAATTCTTGCACATTGGTGGCTCATGTTCTTGTGGTTGAATACCAACCAACATTATATGATTACTTCTCCTTCTGTCCTTGTCTTTAGTTGACCCTGCCTCCATGGCCCATGTACAGAAAGAATCCTCTGTCCTGGCAGCCAGTTATACCAGAGACCAGCGGGGAGCCCACCCAAAAACCTCAGGAAACTCTCAAGAAGAAGAAACACAAATAAATCAGAATGCTCCCTGCCTGACTGTGAATACATCCTTTATATCAGAAACTATTTTGAATTTCGTCTCACGGTTCGCATTTGAAAAGAAAACATACTTACAGTGTTTGTCAGTCAATGAAATACTTGTGTCCACATAATAAACATCAGATACTCTGTTTTATAAATGGGCTGTTTCATTTGTGTTTAGAATTGGGGTTGATCTGCAGGACTTAGTATGTCGATGTGTACAAAAATGCATTTCTTAATTAGTACCTTTCTATTTTCCTTTTCATTGCTGCCAATGTCAGGTTTGTTTTATTGAGGTTCCCAACATTAAGGAAATTGAGGGTGAACAAAAAACATTTAGTATTTATTAAAAAAGATTCAAATGTTAATATCTACAGTGCATCTACATTACATTATTTTGTGTTTAAGAAAATAAAATACAGCAGCAGACTAGTGTCTTCAAAGCTACAGCGTAACAATTACTTATATTCTAGGTTGCATTATAAATAATAACCATCCACAACAGAAAGTGGAAAGATGAGTGCTATAACATATAACTATGACCTAAAATCTTTGCATAGATATGAAAATTACAGGAACCATTACAAATTCTGTGTTTGAAAAATTAGGTTAAAAAACTGCACAGTCATTTACAAAAGACTGCTCGCACAAGAGCAGCTTCAGTGTGACAATTCCATGACAGGACCTGCAGGCATCAATGATGATTTACATGCAAGCAGAAGGAAGAAAGTGGCAGTGCCACACAAGCGCAATGGTGTTTTTACAAGAAAAAATGGTTTTCGTGAACAATATTGATTGGTTGTCATTTCATACAAGTTTCTACTTCAAAGCTGAAACATTTCTCCCAGTGACAAAGTTTCCTGTTTAAGATATGTCAAGATGCTTGCCTCTTCTCACGGGTGGTGTCATGGAAATGCATATGTGTCCACTCCCTTACATACAGAAATTTCTCTAAACCTTGATGGCAATGTCCTCAAAGAATTTCAGCTGCCTCACCATCACAGCATACGCTTGGTACTTCTCATCCCCCATCTGGTCACGAAGGCACAGCTGCAGTGAGAAAAAGGGATATCAACTGTGATCATTTTGGAATCAAAGGACAGCTGAAGTAACTGCTTGAGTTATACACAACCTGGGTTTTGAATTTCACAGACAAAGTAATCACACACTAATATGGCAAACAGATCTATTCTAATGTGTGATGGAATTTACAATTTGATCTTAAAGTTCTGGTATCACTTTGAGCTAAGAAGTCAGTCTAACTTATTTAACTTGTAGCTGTTTATTTTTGGATGTCAGAAGTCCAACCTAACTTAACGAATGCATCAGGAAATCAGAGTCGCTTCTGTGTGTAACTTATGCCCAATGTAACCATAACATCCCTGATTATTAGCAAAGCATTGTGCACAAATGATCAAAGCTCCTACCTACTTACCTACCTAGTTGCTACTCCTAAACACTCGATGTTACTCAACATTTTCAGTTAAATCCTGGGTATAGATAAAGTATATAAAATCTGGTGTGGTGTGTTTAACGTCTTTAAAATCATACTTCTCGCTTGGTGTCATCCTCCACCTCCATGATTTCCAGGACTTTGTCCAGCAACTTGACCCCCAGTCCCTTCACCACATCTGTTCTCAGGTGTTCTATGGCTCTCCTTATCTTGGCCAGACCAGACGTGGAGCCTACTGCAGAGAGAAGCTGGTTAAACATAACAATGGTGGAGAATTGCAGACTGATGACAAGAGAGTTCAATTTAAGTATCTGACCTAGTGGTATTTCACCAAGTGACAAGTTTTCTGCTTCCTCCTGAGCCTTCCCATGAAGCACCAGGGTGTCTCTGTACTTTCTGTTCAGTTTGAATTCTGGCAATGCAGTAGAGCCAAATCTGCCCTTGTCCACCTCACTCACACCGTCTCCAATATCCATTCTCAAAGTTTGGGTCATCATGTGGACTAAATCCTGCATGTCGCTGGATTCTGTCTTCCTGCACTCAAGCAATGTGACACAGCAAATGTGTTAACACAGACTTTCCAGAGCTGATATTATGAATAGCAAAGCAGTAGGGTAACTAGATTAGAGTTGAGTTATTTTCTCCTGTGAATGCTCTCACCTTTCCCTGCAGTCTCCGTCTAAACGTTCTGTGGAACTTGTGGATGAGCTGCACTCGTCTTCATCTGACCTTCGCTCTGGTAACTTATCCTGCTGTAACAAAACACATCAAACTGTTGCGACAGATGTTTTGAAACAGATTTCTACTTTAAATTCACTCTAAGATGATCAGATTAACCTCCCAAGGCACAACCAGCCTTTTTCCCCTCCATACCAGCAGGCATTAAAAAAGTGCCATTCCCTTTTAACGACCGTGTTGAGTACAACTGAATGTCACAGTGATGGGGTGTCAGTACCTTACTGTTGGTGTTAGTGATAAAGTCTGAAACAGATCTGGTATCTGGAGTGCTGTAGTGCTCATCCTTGGTGGAAGTGACATCATAAGACGCCCTTCTTACAACATAAACAACTGTGGAAAGAGCAGAAAAGTAATCAAGAAAAAAGTAAACTATCAAGAATTCCTTTTTTTGTTGCTGTTGTTTGAATAGATTTCTAAAAATGTACAGAATATTTGACCCAAAATGTGCCCATACATGTTTGTTTCCTGTAAAAGGTGTATAGTATATATAAACATGTGCATATTCTAGGATTACTGCTTTGTTATTTTGTATTGCTCTATTCAAGCCTACTGGAACTTCAGTTATACTGTTTTTTATATAGTTCAAACTATAAATTCTGGTTTTCATTAGGAAAGACAGTAAGTACCTGGCAGGCTGACACTCTCCTGGGACTGCCTCAGTCTTCTTCTCTCTCTGGCAGACAGAGGACGATCCTGAAAATAAAATTGACCCGCATTTTCTGTGATTAATAAACAGCATCTGCTTATTTTCGATTTTGTTTTGTATCATATTTAATTTTCAGTATAATATTCTACAAACTATGGCCTCAAATCAAAATTGCAGAAATGTTGATGCAGCTTATTCTTTTATCTACACATAAAATGTGTCTCAGGCACAAATATGCATGCCCTTTCAGTAATGTGGCTGTATACACTCATTTGCGAGTGGATGAGCACTCTCACCTGTGGCAGTGGTAGGAATCCGTCCTTACAGGAACTAACTGGTGCAGAGGTTGCGGCTACACTGGCTTTCTCTGTGCTCCTCCTGCTTCTCTTCCTCCCCTCCACAGCTATGCTCTCAACAGGAGGTGGAGGTAAAGGTCTTGGAGCAGCCACCTTGGACTAACAGAGGACAAAAAAAAATTGAATTTAATCAACCCTGCTGACTGTTGATTATTGTGTTATTTTAAGTGTGATATTTGTCAAAATGTACTTGTTAAAGAGGACATTTCAAAAAATCCTATCTTGGCTTGAACTCAGCATTAATTAATTGAGTGTCCATGTCCACGAATGCAACATGGTCAGTTTGACAAAAACAGCACGTATGAGGGCAAAAACCTTTCTCCAATGTTTTCCATGTTGTCCTGCGAGGCACTAGCCTTTAGGAAAAACTGAATCCCATTATTAAATTACTTTAAGATTTTTATATTTGGATTCAAAACCCAACAATCCTTGCACTTAAAGTTCCTAAATTTCCTTACATTAGCTCCTTATATCGCTTTACCTTGTCCTGATCCCCATGTGTCCGTCTTATGTCTCTCCCTTTGTGCTGCTGTGATATAGATGGTTCTGATGAGAAGTACAGGGGTGTTTGGCATGGATTTGTCAGACCCGGCTTACTGGCTGGTGAGGGACATTCCTCCTGAACTGGCTCCTAAACAGACACAAGTATACTCTTTCCACTGTGGCAAAATACAAGACAAATAATGGGCTTTATTCTGGCTAGAGTTCACAGAATGAGTACAAGAATTTCAATGCTCACCACTGTTGGAGAGTGTGGCTCTAACAGCTTTTCAGTAGATTCTAGGCTTTCCTACAAAGACATAAATTAATACGTAAAAACAAAAGAACATCATATAAGAACACCACAGTGATACCACTATAGAGCACTTACTTGGATGTCAGAGGTGTGGTGTTGTGTCCGAGCTACCTTAAGAAGGTTCACAGTATAATTTTTATTGTCCATATTCACGTCCACAAGCCCTCCGATATTTTCTGCATTGGATTTGTGTGCAGATCTCCTCTCAGGGACATTAGAAGCAGCCTCTGTCTTTGGGTTCTGCATATCAGCCTCTTTAAGTAACTCGATGGTATCCTCTTTATCATCCACATCTGACATCCGCTTCCCCCCACATACAGAAAATGTATCCCCAGGGTGTGGTGCGCCCTGTGGATGAACGTCTAACAATCCACTGGATGCCCTCCTCTCGTCGGTTCCCCGACTGCCAACACCTGATACACACTTCAGGGGGGGCTTAACAGGGGAAGGAGGGGGAGACGGATTTGGTTTCACTCTTCCTTTGCTGTCTTTGTGCACAGTGTGAGTCACAGGTTCATTGACTGCACTGTGGTGTGACACAACTGACTGGGGCCGCTGCACCTGTCTTTTCATCAGGTCCTCTTCCTCCTGCAGTTGGACATCAATATTAATGTTGCTGATGGTTGCCAGGGATGCCAAGCTGGCTTTGAGAGCATCAGGTGAGGAGGGTTTGGGTGGCAGAGGTGTTTGGATTGGAGTGCAATCTGCGATGCCGTTCCGAACTTTGTGTTGTTGTGATTTCTCGTCTTTCTGGGAATGAAGAGAAACAAAAACCATAATAAACAACACTGACAATTCCCCTCCGGACATCAGAAATAAAGAACTTTGGGTTAACAGCTTCAACTAAAAAGTAATTGGAGCAATCCACTGGACCGTTTTAACATCTTACTACTTTCACAACCACAATAAATTTACACACACCTTCTGAGAATAAATATAGAATCATGGAACTTATTTCAGATTAGTCATGGCGATTTGAAAAACCTTGATACAAAATGATAAAGTATTCCTTTAAATTCACAAATACTGATACCAGTTGTCCATATTGCTGTTAGCCCACTGTTAGGATTAATCATAACTGTTGTTCAGGTTTAGCCATTGCATTTCCATTACAGCCATATCTCAGTGGCTAAGTGATACTGTCCATTAAAAAGATTAAGAGATTAAGAGAGCATTTCATTTCAACAACTATAACAACTAAGTTGACAAAATAAAATGCAGCAAAAGACATGATGTCAAGCAACTAGTCAAATCAAAAACTTCCTGCTTATACTGAAACTTTGTTGAATGTAACAGAAAATACCTGCATGTTACTATTCATCTATCATAAGAAATAATATAAGCAATAGAAAGTCACAGGATACATTTTGATTAGTGACAACAGAGTACATCAATACTAAGTGACTGACATCATGACTTACTATTGGAATATTCTAAAATAATATTATCGTTAAGTTATTTGTGTTGAATCAGATTTTATATTCTCCACTCACTCACCCGTTTCACTCTGGCTATAGGTTCAGGCTGGGGACTTCTCTCAGGTTTTGGCTGAGATGACATCACACTGTTGGCCCTACAGTCACCACTGCCACCCACAGCTTTCTTTCTTGACTTGGCAGTTTTTCTGGTAAAAACACAATTAAACATAAACATGTAAGAAGAGATTTATCAATCTATGTAATGCTGGCAGTACACTGTGGAAGAAAAAAAAACAGTGACAGAACTGAAGATCTGACAGTAGAAAATAATTCCAATTCAAGTATACACAGCAAGAAATGAAATGTGCATCCAATATAAAGCTTTACAGACATTAGTAATCACAGCAAGCAGCAGTCTGCTGTCAGAGCCACCTACTCTTTAGTGGCCTCAAGGAACATAGCAATTTGTCTTTTGATGTAGGGCTGCCGGAGGATAAGTTTAACATCAGGCCTGTCCTCAGGTCTCTTACACAGCATGCTCTTGATCAGTTCTCCCAGCTGGGGATCATACCTACTGGGCATCTGAGGCAGCTGGTGAGAAAAACAGGAAAATGTCATGTTATTGTGAAACTATTCTGCCTTAAATTCTATTTTTTTTATTATTAGGATTCAGAAAAATAATGTACTGTATTAACTACAAGAGCACCAATTATTAAACTGTTGATCAAGGTGGCTAGTGTTACCAATCAATATCCCCTCATAAGAGCTTTCTATCTGTGGTTACTGGGGATGATGACAAGACTATTCCCAACTTCATGACCCTGACCTCTTCTGACACTCTCAGGAAATGACAAACACTAAATTACACATGTTTGCAAAAACAGGACTGACCAGAGCAGAATATCAAAATAAATGTAAAAAGATGAAACCCACCTTTCCTTCTACAATGCGATAAACCAATGAGTTCATATCCTTGGCATTGAAGGCATGCTTCAGTGTGGACATTTCATACACACAGCAACCCAGGGCCCATACATCTGACTAGAAAAAAAAACATCAATTTGTAAGACAGTTCCTGTAACAGGTCCAAAATAACTAAACAGAGTGAGAGCAGATGACCAAATTACCTTGTGGTTATAGGGTTTATTTGAGAAGAGCTCTGGGCTCATGTAGTAAGGGGTCCCTATGAGTGTGCTGGCCATATCATTCTGATTCTCCAATACTCGTGCGATGCCAAGGTCCCCAACTTTGATGATGTTAGTCTTAGTCAGGAAGATGTTCTGTGTTTTAAGGTCCCGGTGAAGAATGTTCCTCTCATGCAGGTACTGCAAAGCAAAATCACAACGGTGACTTCATGTGTTGCATACTTCTCAAAGAAAATAAACTGATATTGCATGGTCTTTACTTTCAATCTGTACCTGGAGTGCCATTGCTATCTGGACAAACCACTCCACCACCTGCCTCTCAGGTAGGAGCTCGCTCTTTTGCTGTTTGAGTCGATGATAAAGGTCACCGCCTTCACAGAAGCCCATCACAATGTACAGCTGGCAGTCATCTCCTTCCCACGACTCCCTGTATGTCACAATGTTAGGATGTCGCAGCTGGGAGAGAAGCTGTGCCTCCTGCTCTGCAGCACGCCGCTCCCGCTTGGAGGAGGTGATTAAATTCAGTTTCTTAATAACATACTGGTAAAAAAAGGAAAAATTCACAGTCAAACTCCCTGAATTAAGAAAAGTACATGTCTGTCAAACTATATTTGTGAACACATTTAGAAACGATACACTTGGGAAAAGTCACCATATGGTGGAGAAGCTGAAGAATTTCCAAGAAGATTGCAATAAATTAAGTTCAGTTTTAGTTAGTTTTACATTAACATATTCATTTATAAAAGTTAATGAGTGATCACAAACCCTGTCAATGATAGTGATCTACATATTAATAAGTGCTTCTCAAGTTATGAAACACTGACATAGGAGCCCTGCACCTGGTATAATTCATGTTTTCTGTCTTATGCTCAAACTACAAAACTTTCTTTACAGGCCACCAGGATGGTCAGAAGTATTAATTATCCAGCTACCATTTTTAAGGTTAAATAAGTTAAAATAAAGTGTCCCTGTTGTCTCAAACCCTTCAAGGACTCTTTAGGGACAACAGCAGACAGCAAACAACGGTCAAACTGAGAGTTATTGCCCTATAAATACCAACATACATCATCTTTACTAACATATGACTTTGTTTCGTCATGTCTTCCACCTCATTAGATGTGTTAAAATTATTGTTCTTCCATAAATCTGAAATATAACGTTAAAGAGCATAAACAAACCCGTCATGTTTAGCCTACTTTAGCTAACTTTAAACTGGTTGAAGCCTAGCTGGTCTGTGTAGCCTCAAACCTGCTATTATGACGTTTCAAGCGATTAACGTTACACTTGTTAAATCTACACGTTAATTATTTTAACAGTTGTGGGCTGTACTGAACTCCAAACATACTTTTTTGTTTCTCACCTGTTTTCGGTCTGTTTTGTGTTTCACCAAGTTCACCTCCCCATAGCTCCCTTTCCCAACGACCCTGATGAAAAGATAATTATTCATCCTTCATCAAAACGCTTCATAACGCGACCTGAAACACTGAAAACGTTATTCGACAGCAACGAATATATCAGCGGTTTTATTTCGTCCCATCTTCCAGCAGTAAAGACAAGATAAACGCATGAAATCTGTGTGGGAAAACTTCGGGCTAGCTCACAGTGCCAGCGATGAGATTTTGAAAACGCAGGAAATCAGCAGCAGTCGACAGTTTTTCGTCACTAGGCAACTGGCAGCTCAGTGTCGAGGAAGGAGAGCGTGAGGGTCCAAAAACTGATGTGCGCGCACCACAGCGCCCCCAGCGGCGGCAGGTAGACAGCAGGGTGACGCTCTATCACAAGAAGCTGCAACAAAAGGTCATTTCCTTACAAATTTACCAGAGAAATTCTTTATTTACAAATGTAAAATTGTGAAGTTAAATATTTTTTTCTGCGTTCTTACCTGGAATTGTACAATGCCAAGTTGTTGTAAATTGTCAAGGCAGGAAAAGCAAGTTGCCTGGGTGTATTAACAACACCGATATGTGTAATCAGTAATTTAAACCAGGTTCCCTTTCATTTAGCCAGCACACACACCACCAGACCCTGGAACTGCTAGCCTACATTACCTAGAGGAAAACTTTGCTGCTCACAATAGTTATTTCTTTGTCTCGTCAGAAATAAATCAGCTTCTTATTTGGAGATTACTAACTTCAGATCTTCTCTTAAATCACTACATTGGGAGAAATAAGAAGCAATATAATAAATAAGCAGGAGTTGTTTTTTTATGTGCTCATATGCTTCTTAGAGGTTTCTCAACTCTTAAAACAGATAAAATACACAGAGCTGAGATGTGAATTTGGTCATTGAGACAAATTTCTAAAGTTGTGCAGGCTTATTTATAAGCCAATGAAGTCTTCTTTTGGAACTTAGTGTTATCTCAACAGCTGATTATTTCAGACAGATAAAGATTACTGCAGTGAAAGAGGTTAAGGAGCATTTTAAGATCTTAAATTCGGGCTGAGAGAAGAGGAGGGTTATTTCTCAGGAGCTGAATTTAGGAAGTAATGGAAAATGGTCAAAATCCTATAACAATGCTATATTGAGCTCAGTTATGAATAGGAGAAATAGTCTGGACAATAAAAGATCTTATTTTGAATTTTCCTTTCGTCTAGGTAGGCCTATATGAGATGGAACTTTCAGTGGTTAAAGTTTTGAATCACACCTGTGGGCCACTCTTTCTGCCATGACATGTTAATGTCTGCCATGAAACTAACAACAATCTTAAGGGAATTAAGATTATTATAAATTATATGATTTATTATAAAAAAGCAAATGGTCATTACATACATTGTCCTTTAATCCCTTTTACAATAACAAAACACCAATATATCAACATTTTACTGCCATAAAAATGACCAACACGTCTACTTAGCCTAAAATGTGCACCCAACTCAATGTGTCTGCATACTATCAGTTCTTTTTAGACTTGCCATATTGACCTTGCCTGTTTAGGGACATGCAATCCACTAGATGGCGCACAAGACCACCACAAGCTGAGACCGTACAAGCTTGCATACCAAAGTCCCTTCGCACTTGGCAGGGTGAATGGACAAGGAGAATTTAGTTTTTGTGGGCTTTATACTAGATTTTAATTTGAAGAGAAGTCACAAATAAATTAATGAAAGTGGACCTACTTGTCCACAGATAGGTATAGGATGTGGATAAGACAAAAACAAAGATTCAGTTAAGCTTGGGTATACAGATGTGTAGCATGTGATAAAGACAAGATGTTGTGGCTGAAGGTGAAGCATGACACATGATAAAAACACCAAACGTACACGAATGAATGAGCCTAAAAGAATTGTTGCTGCTGGATGAAGGGTTAGGCAGTAAGTACAGAAAACCTTCTTGAAATCAAATTAAGTTTGCAGCAACTACCACCTCTACAACCAGCAGCCTACCAAGAGACTGTTTTTTACCTATCAGAGAAGGGGGTTGGCCTCAAGCCTGGCAGAAAATGCATGACCCTCCCTCCACCATAAACGAGTCACTGGTTTTTAAAACATATCCTTTGATGCTTCAAAGTTAAAAGTTCAAGACGGTTAGTGGTTAGTTAGCAAAAGCTTTATTTTTGGGCCAAATTTTAAATGAGATGCAGTGATGTTGATGAAGTATAACTAAGTTCAGTTTTTTTTTTTCTGATGGAAGGGTTTGTAACACATGATGTGTCCAAGGAATTTGAAAACCCAACAATATTATTTGTTTTTATGGTTTCTAGCTATGACAAATAGTATCATTTTGGCGGGTGGGTTTGGAAGGCAGCGGTAAAATAAAAACGAAATGCAACCGTAAAAATATTATAGAAAGCACAAGTTCCTCCCCAATGCTTAAAAAATATTTGACAGGCCTCCCTCTTTTTTTGCACCACCCCTCCCCCTTCATAAATAACGAACAGTCCCTAATAGTAGTCTTAAAGGCTAATATTAGTATTGAACACTGGGTCTGTAGTTTCTTTCTGTGTGTTTACCTCTGGATCAAATCCAGATCTCCTGTAAGTGATTAAGGGCTCCAGCATTAGAGATAATACCTACAACCTCAAGTCCATTATCACTGTCACTATGACTACTCATGCCATTACTACTTGCTACAGTAAGGCCTAGTTTTGGAGCTGCTAATGTTTCTGTGTCTGGCCTTAGCATGAGTGTGTATTAGTTTTCAGCTGGGGTCATTTATTTTATGCATTACCGAGCCTGCACACGGACACCAGCTCACCTCCAAGCGCTTTATCATGAACACAGCACACGGGTGTCACGGGTGGACAGAGAGGTGACCAATAGTGTCGCAGAACCGTTTACCTGTGCTTCCCAGCTCGGGCGATGATTGGTCCGCTGGCCGTCCTGCCCCGAGGTGACGTCAGGATGAGCGCTGCTGGTGAGGCTGCCAAGTACAGATTCCGCGTGAGAGCGCTCCGAGTTGTGGAGATAGACAGACGGACACTGGACACTGCTGCCGGACATTAGTGACCGCTAAATTTCAGGTAGGAGCCGCTGCTGCCACACTGACATGACACAAACTTTATCTCTGTCTCTGTGTCAGAGGCTCGAGAGGTGCTGGAGCGTGGTCTCTTGTCAGGGGGGTTTGACAGCTCTAAGGTTAGCTAACATTAACGGAGTTTAACGTTCACTCCGTGGTATATGGGGACCTTTGGTTTTAGAGGGACGCTTTACAACTCTGAGGGAGATTTAAAGCTGTAAGTCACTGTAGCGTTACTACAGGGGAGGCTGCTGAAGTTAACCGTCAGACTCGTTATGCAGATGCAGATATTGTCACTGACATGAAGAGGACCTCAATGTAACTGAAGCTGCAGTTTGAAGGATCAGATACTGACATGGAGTATGGAGGGACTGAAGTGACAGCTTACTTGTTTTCTCCCATTCAAACCAGTATAACTAGACTGCTCTAATTTAAATGTAATAAAGTCATGTTTATGTAGTATGGTCTGATTAAATAAAAATAACTCCAGGCTATGTCTTGGGAGAACCTTGGTGGTATTATTATTATTTCTCATAGCAGAAATGTCTTGTGGTTTACTCAGTAAACAAGACTTGATGTGTATTTTTAGTTCTTACCCATTTCTCATTTTCTCTTTCTGTTTCTCTCTCACTCACTCTCGCGCCTCCTCCTCTCTCTGTCTCTGGGATCCTGTAAGGAGAAGTCTGCTTATCAATTAATAAGCTCACTTTGAGAGGAGATTTGTTGTGCGTCATTGACACCAGCTGACCAATCAGTATTCTGTTAGTAAATCTCTCTGTGTTAGACAGTCAACCAGTGGATGCATGGGTTTTATTAATAGGGTTTTTTTAGATGGACAGCATGGATTTTGCATCTGTTGAGGGGACGATGGCGAAGATTAGTTGGATAGTTTTCTGTTTCTCGATTAGGTAATGATGTGAACAAGTTAATAAAATAAGAATCACACACTGTGTGTTTGTGCTTTTAAACATTTTGCTCTTGGCAAGCAGGAAAAAACACTCGCCCACCACGGCAGAGACCTGGGATCTTTGTCAGTTCACCCGTTCGACCCAGTGAATCATTTTGTATTTGTTGTGTGAATGGAGTTGTACTGTTTTGCTTCTTTGAGCTGCATGCATTTCACCGTGGCCAATTTGTGTGTCTGTACCGACACCCCAGATTTTCAAAGAGACAATACTGCCATTAAGGTCAAATTAATAAATAAATAAACGCTGGGGGTTTAAACAGGAATTACTGTCCTTCAAAAATACATCATACTGCATGAAATGTGACACAAAACCTGGACAGCTGGATGTGAAAAACACGGCTTGGCTTTTGTCCTTAGGCCTGATTTCAGATTGACTACGAGGGTCCTGCTTGCAGCTCTGAAAGCTTTAAAACAGGGGTATCAATTCAAATTTTTTACATTTTATTTAGTGTTAAGAAACAAAACAGATGATGAACATGCTGAAGTTAACCGTCAGACGATGAACAGCCTGAGATATCTGAAGAAAATTAAGTGCAGTTTCAACAATATGTCTCAGTTTTTCCGTATTTAGTTAGTCCTCTACTCACTGTCATTACATGTGCATTTTCCCATTCATTTCCACTCCTGTGTATTCTGGCATCACCACACCAAACTGAAGTGGAAGCTGTTGGGGGAGCAGGATAAATTATCCCCTGCCTTACAAATCATTTACAAATATAAAGTTTTGGCAGTCTTATCAACAGGGTTCCTCCAATATTGTTTCAAGATAGAAGCCTTATACAGATTCTTTTGTACTGAAGCTGCTGATTGACATTGATATTTTGCACAATGTTTAATACTTTTAAATATGACCACAATAAGTATACATTGTTATTTTAACATTTTTACATGAAATCAGCCACTCATTGTTTAACTTGCTCCTGAAACTATACACCTCTTATCCCTCAGATGTTCATCAATGTTAGGTGTGCAAGTCATCCAAACACTTTGGCCAGTTGGTTCTGGCCTGTGGGCCGTATATTTGACACCCCTGCTTTAAAAGATCAGAGGTGTAGCTATGCACCTGACCTAACATAGCCTTGAAAAGAATTAGTAAAATGAAATCATTACAAAAACTATTTGGCTTCCTGTGAAGTGAAGCTGCTTTCACAGGAATGCAGTCTGTTGACATGAGTTAAGTCTCTGTTCTTAACTTGGCAGCAGAATTTCTCACAGTTTTGAGCTCTGCGGTAGATTGTCTGCTGAGATATGAGAAATAGTAGAAAACTCGAGCCAAGATCAATCTTTTAAAGTGTTTAAAGACAAAAGAGAGCCAACATGTAAGTGTGTTAGTTTGTTATCGACACTTCTGTCGAGACATGAGCCATCCAGTTAAGAGATAACAAGTGGATGTGACTAAGAATGTGTTCAAGAGCTCAATTTGTTTTTGTTTTAATTTAACGTATCGACACGTGGTTTTAATATAGCTCCATAAGTTTGTCTGTTTGAATGTTTGATTCTTTGTGTGTGTATGCAAGTGTTGCCAAAAGTTTCAACACCCTTGCAGACTCGATTTCATGCCCTGACACCGTAACCACGTGTCATTTTGTCACATTTAACTGTGGTCGTGTGTACATGTGTGTGTGTGTGTGTGTGTGTGTGTTTCTTCTGTCCACTGCACATCACAGGAATGGGAAACCAGTGAGTACAGCAACTCTCTTTTGTGTAAACCTTAAACAAGGATGAATGCTGCATGTCACATACGAGTCAGGGAATGTGTGTATGGTATCGTGCATCTCCCTGTTTCCAGCCTCTTCAATCCTTTTGCTTCTTGGGTTTTTTGAGCAGCTTAATCTTCACCCATTGGCCAAAAGTCATGTCATCAGTGGACATGAAGGGGCTGTTTTTGGCCTTCTACATGCTCCTATGATACCTGCATGTGTCTCTCTCCTCTACTCTCCTACATTTTAAACTTGCCCATATCTGCCCCTGCGTGTCATAAACTTGATCCTTATTTTGTTGTTTATAGCATTTGTCTGTTTGAAAAACAGACCCCCTTGCTCAGTTTTGTCCATAAAACTCAAATTGCTTGAAATGTGTCAATGAAGTTGCCTAATTTAAAACATATCCAGGTATGTTTGTGCCATTTAAGTGAAATCCAAGTGTAATGGAGATTTAGGTGCATGTTGATATTTCCTGGTTCAAAAATGAGCACAACCAGTGTCAAGCGACGGTTGATGCGTTCATAGATTTTAAATGACTTTGATGTCAAAATGACTTTGATGTTCGATATCATCCATTCTCAGTGCATGAATTAACATGAATCTCCATGAATCTCCATATGAGCAAGGTGAGATGCTACAAACACGCAGTTTGTGAGAGGTGTTTTCACTGTTTCTCTGCCTTCATTGTTTCCTCCAAACAGTCTTGTGCTGTTGCGGGTATTTTTAGCCTAAAGGTTACTACTCTCTAAGCAGGTATACTGTGATGCCGTGTCTAAATAATGCTGGTCAGGAGATAAGGTTAGAGCTGTATAGATGTAGTTGTTTTTAATTATTCTTTCATGACACATCTTTTCGATGTATCAATTCATAATTTAAAGGTCCAGCGTGTAGGATTCAGGGGGACACATTTGCAGAAATTGAATTTAATATTCATAGCTATATTTTTATCAGTGTAAGTAATCACCCAAAACTGAAAATAGATGCGCCTTTAATAAGGGTCCTCTGCCTTATTGTTTCTACAGTAGCACAGAACAGACAAACCAAACACTGCCTCTAGATTTGCGTTGGCCACTGTAGTGTCCTTACAGGCTTGGCTCCCGAGAGAAGTTTCAGTTGGTTGCAATCTGCGACCTCACCACTAGGTGCTACTAAATCCTACACACTAGAGCTTTAAATAATTTAAAAAGACGGATCATTTGAAGTGCCAAAAATGCTCTTTTTGACGCGGACTCATGAAAAAGTGTTTTGGGTTACATCAATTTCAAATACAGAAAAGCAAGCAAATCATCAAATTTAAGAAACTGTAATCAGCAAATGATTGACAGTTGTACTTAAAGGGATACTTCACTAATTTTCAAGCAGCTTTGTTTCATAACAATGTGTATAGTATGTGGAAATGAAATGTGCTAAAGTTCTCTTTATCTCTTCCTGCTCATCTCTCAGCTTAAATCCACTGGATGACGTGAAATGCAGATTTTCACTGGCTCTGAAGCTGTTGCAGGGACTACTGATTGTAGTTCTGCATTTTCATATGCCCACCTCTCTCTCTCTCAAACGCAGACCAAACTCCAAATGAACGATAAAATTGGACAGCACTGATCAAATATAAACCAAGATTCTATTACCGTATTGCTTATTTGTCACCTAAAACGTCTTCAGAGACATATTTTAGTGCACTGTTTGGCTGTAAATGAGAATTTGTGAACAGTAAGTGGGCACTTGAAAAAAACTGAAATTTTAAAACTAGGCAGCACAGCTCAAATATGAACCAGGATTCTGTTACTGCATTGCCTATTTCTTGCCTCAGATGTTTTCAGAAAAATATTTCTAGCTTACTGTTTAACTGTAATTTGAGATTGTTTGTTACCAGCTGGCAGCCGTGCTGTTTCCTGTGTCAAATTCGCATCATGTCACCCACCAGCGGAGATGTTTATTAGTCCAGTGTGGTGCAGTGCATTCTGGTAGTTGCAGGTTTTACACCTCTTGAGTAAAAGCAAATGTCACAGCCCATTTCCACTGTTTCCTCTGGTCATGTAGCACCAATTTCAAATGTATTTGCATCTTTCTACTGCATAGACAGACCACTTTTATGAAAACACCGTCTTTCCATCAGTGAAATACTTCAATAATAAATAATTAGCCTACTCAATGTTTATTTGTATAACTCTCACAAAATATTTCCGTATTGATCAGCAAGTCTGTTAGTTTCAGCACTTCAAACTCAAAGTCCTCCTCTCACAACCAGACTTCAGAAAGGCTAAAGAATCTCAACATGTCAGAACAAAAATCGCCCTACTCTTTGCATAAACACTGCTCTGTATTCTTTTGTACTTACAGAGGTTGTTTAGCACACATTGACCTACTAGAGATCCTTTTTCAATGAAAACTGTGGAAAAAAAAATCATGCTCGGTAATCGATCCTCAATACTCAAAGAAAGGGACTGGTGTCAAGTTGAAGATGTACTGAGGAATAGAGTTACAGTCTACTATGTATTGTTTGTTTGTCCCCTACAGTAGTTATTAGACTACAGGAACAGAGGCCCCAACACAGCAGATTTACCAGTAAAGCTTTCACACACATTACACTGGACTTCCTCTTACTGCTTCCCTTAAGCACTTTACTTTGCATGCTGCTATATTGTGCAAACTTCAGAGGTACTTCCTTCTTCTTCATTTGCTTTAAATGGCATGCAAAATGTAGTGGAGGAAATGATGAATGATACCAATTCAACTGTTCAACTGTACACTTAGTTTCTTGGCACTTTTGGTTACATTGTTTATCAGATGCTGTACGTAGTGTATACCTGATGAGGTTGTATCATTTTTCACTGCTTTTCATGTGAGATGTCCATCTAATACATATCCAATAACCACACACCAGACCACTGCAGCCAGCTTCTGAGTGACCAGAATGATTTCCACCTTAGCTGCTACCTGCTATTAGACGCTAAAGCAATGTCGACTCTCAGATACCATAGCAGCTCCTTTGGGTTGCCATGACGACACGTATGAAGCTGACTTCTGACATTAGTGAAGGCAGAGAGAGGGCCACCATGTTTGTGTGTGTGTGTGTGTGTGTGTGTGTGTGTGTGTGTGTGTGTGTGTGTGTGCAGCAATCAGTGACTGCACCTGAATGCAGCTAGCAGAGGCCATGTCCTATTAACATTTATTCTGAGATAACAGCGGTGTAAAGCCCACCCCTGTCTATCGCTTAATGCCACTCATACACACAATTCAGCATGTAAATGAGCTGACTCTGAGCTAACAGAGACATGATTAATTGTGACATTATATTGTGTTTAACAAAACGGCTCTTGTACGATCCAGAACAATACATTACATCATCTCATATAGACAGACTGTGAAGTTGCCAGGCAGGCAGCAGGAACAGAGGAGGAGTGAGGCATGCTGATATGAACAGAGCTATTTTAGTCTCCCAGGTCTGAGTTATAGGCACTTTCTGGGTTTAGATGATGATAGCTGTGACAGCAGGGTCCTCTGTGATCACTCCAGCACTCCAGAGTGTGGTGAGGACAAACAAAAAAAATAATGAGCAAGTGAAACTAAAGTGGAATACGTATTGTTTGTATCGTTTTCTTACTCTTAGGGGGGTATTTTGTACCTTACACTTTGGCCTGATTTTTGATTTGGCCCAGTTTTGTGGCGCTAATTTGTGTCACCTCACTTAAACCTGAGCGTTACACAAGAACAGTAGAGTATCAAATATATTTCAGATAAGCTGACATTTTATGGATTGACAGTTTTGGCTCTTCACAACACTTTGCTTCTTCAGGCAGAGGCTCATCTTAAAGTTTCAGTCAGTAAGTTTGACAAAATCATTGTTAAACCAAAGGAAACAGCGAAGCGCCTCATGATTCACGTGTGATTCGGAGGGTGATTATAAAGCGAATATTGATGAATTTTTGATTCCTATACATGAATGATTTTCTTCTCCAACTGTGTGACTACTGGCTGCTAAAAACATAGCATTTCTGTAGTCCGACATAATTAAAATAAACAGATGAATTTACCTCTGTTATTTTTTATTAATACAGTACTAGTAAGATTGATGGTAAACATGATGCACACATTTACCTCAGTTACATTTCACCATCCAATAGGTTTAGCCATAAGGACACAACATTGTTACAGGTGATCATAATGTGAAGAATTTGGTTTTAAATTTATGATTATTGATTTTTCTGCATAATCTGTTAAGAGACAATTGCAATGCATCTAAGACTCAGTTTCTTTTACATTACACTGCTTGGCTCTGGTGTAAAAAGGTGAATCACTGTACCCAAACTTCTATAGTAACAGTTGGGTTTCTAGAGTGAAACTATAGTTTACTTATTAACCTGGTAGATATTGGCCATGACTTTGAGCCTCCTCTACAATAAAATTCAATCTTGATGATCATAAAAATACCTAAATGTGATTGCAGGACACTTTTCATAACGTCAGAACTAGAAGGGCACTCAGAGAGAACAGCCCTCTCCCAGGGTCGTATGTCTTGTCTCGCAATGTTAATGACAGTGTAATATAATTTGTTTATCTATCATGTGATTCAGATCTGCTCCACAATTTGATGGCTTTTTTTCTTGGCCCATGCTACGCCCTTCCACCAAATTTTGTGAGAATAAGGCCAGTAGTTTGTCCAAATCCTGCTGACAAACATACCAAAGCAGTGTATTGATACTTTATTGATATCGTGATAAAAGATGAGATATCCTCTTTGATTTTGGATATCATGACTGCTGTCTTTTCCTGGTTTATAATAAAATGATCACCAGACTGTTCTAGCTGTTTTAAGTATTTGATTTTGCCCACTTAGTCATTATATCCACATTACTGATGATTATTTATCAAAAATCTCATTGTATAAATATGAGAGCTTAACCTAATTCAGCTGCCAGTGAGCCAGATCTGGCTGTTCAATACAAATATTCCACTATTCGTTCCTTTATTTCTCCACATAGAGTTTGAGTGTTTGAAAGGGGTTCAGCTGGACGTTCAGTGTAACAGTAACAGACGTGATATAGTAAACAAGCTAACTGCGCTAACGAGATATCAAACAGAAGTTAGATGACTGTATCGTATTAAGTTAATTCATCACTTCTAAGCAGAAGGCAGAAGATAATGTTATTTCAGAGCCCTATGGTACAAAGCCTCTCCTCCCACAGCAGCTGCCTAAGTGCTCCGCAGCAGCCTGTATCGAAGAGCAGAGTGGAAGTGAAGCGAAATGTCCCCAGAAGTAGCCTACACTGTACACTGACTGGAAAAAAAAGAAAACTAACAAAGAAACAAAAAACCGATTGCTCAACTTGAAGCAATCTCAGTCGACTGAGGGGTCTCTGACTGATGATTCAAATCTCTGACTTTCAGGGGAAGCCCTAGTAAACATTTTGTGAAAGCACCAATAGTCAACCCTAAAATATTCTTGCAATATTGATATTGAGGTATTTTGTCAATAACATTGTGATATTTGACTTTCTCCATATTGCCCAGCCCTGATTTAGACCAGATCTTCTACACTGTCTGCCATGTTGAACCTTCCAAGTAACCACAAAATTTCAGTCACCACCCTTAAGTTGCAAAAAAACAACAATGACCCACGTATTTACCTGTGTAGTATTTCAGTATAATGGATGAAATGCAGCCTGAGCCTGTGTCAAATGTGTGTGAAAATCACTTTACAGAGGAAGCAAGGTTTACCACAGTCTTAAGTCATCCGAGACACATATAATTGTCTGTTTGACAGACCAACAACATTTTTTCAACATTCTGTTTGTCAAGCTGGTTGTAACATCGTCACTGGTTTAGGCCAGTTTTTTGCCTGAACCCGTGAGACAGAAGTTATCTTTTTGGCAACATGACATGCAATTGTGCGAAACAATTAGTCAGTTACTTCACTTCCTTATGGGACTTATAGCTGCAGGAAGTGCTCCTCTGCAATACACACCCACAGGGCTAATGCAAACTCCCAACGGTCATGCCAAAAAATTTGAATGTTCATAACACAGCAACATCATAACGTGCACAAAGCAAAGCTCTACCCTGTAATTTCATACATGGTACATGTAAAGTAATTTGCATTGCCTCTTTGTTTGAAAGAGGCATCAGTCAAATGTCAGCATTTCCCAACACGACATCATGTGTTGCTTACTAGTGTGTCATCACGAGTGGCAAACACAGAAACCCACTGTCAGTAATCCAAGTCATAAAAACATCTTAACTTATTTTATGTTCACATTTATAATTAATCAGAAAACAAAAGTGAGCAGGACTATCAGCGCAGTAATGTAGGTGGGGATGGAGACAGTTAAACTGTTTATATTAATGAACATTTCCTCCTTATCCTCTTTTTCTTCACTAGTATTGTTTCTGACCGTAACAACAAGAAGATGCCACTGGGTGACGACTGCCATGCCTGGAAAAAGAAGACCACAGATGTGAAGGATCAGTATGACTTCAAAGAGATCCTGGGAACGTAAGTGTGTCAGTGCCAGCGGCAAAAATGCTTGTGTTTCAGCTGTGCATGATCGCTTTTTCACACTTTAGGGAACATTACCACCATTTGAATAAAGGGTGTGGGGTTTTGCATTTTTAATAATGCATTTAATGTGTATCTGTTCGCCGTTCTTTCAGATGGACAAATACAGATGCATTTGTTTTGTTTCTGATCATGATACTTTTGTATGGATTGAACTTTATAAATTATCATGCAAGGCAAGTAAATATTGCCTTGTAGTTACTAATTAGACCCTGTTTGATAAGGACTGACAGGCCAACAATTTATTACAGTGCATCTAGCCTCGTGACAAGGTTTTGCTGCATTTTATAAATGTGTCTCTGCTCAGTGGATATTTATGCTGGGCTGCTTCAGACAATGTTCCTATACAAACAGCTTGATGCTTAATCGGACAAAACAGGCTGTAATGGGAACCTGATGTGGTGCAAGCAGCACACATATGGTAACCGTGTCAGTGCAAAGCCAGTGGGAGCAGCAATGCCGTTTTTTCTGAGGTTGTTTTTGCATCTTTACCAGTTTGGGGATTTCATGACCCCTAATGAATCTGTTTTTGCCAAGGTAGGTGGTGTGGCACAGATGAGTTTGAATAATGTACATCAGGTGGTCGTGAATCGCAATTTTATACTGAACTTGTTTTGGAATGAAATTGCACCTGCATTGTTGGCTGCTCTGACCATCTCTAATTGTGTCATGTTAACACTATCAGCTATTTTTGTGCTTTAGTTGAAACACACAGACTTCTACAAAATGGTGTAAACCTCTCTCACATTTAAAAACACATTAAAATACAATATTTCAGGCAGTTAAGTCAGTCTCTCCATGCTGCGATACAATAGCACTACAATACACCTTTGAGCAGCGTATAATGTTCCATTTTGTTGACACTGTGTCATTAGGACCCTGTTGATTTACTGCACCTCTGTGACACAGGGTCAGCACACCAGCCACAAAGCGTTACATTGAGAGGCTGATATTCTGCTCCCCGCATGTAAATAATTTTTTAATTTTCAGAACATAAGAACCACCTCTTAAGGAAATGCAGGTCACAGTGGAACAGCACCACTGAATAAACAGCCTCATAAATTAACATGGGGTTGAGTCAACACCTCTGACACAGTGTTGATGAAAACTGAACTTGATACACTTTAAGTTATTGCTGGGCTGTTGTATTAGATTACATTAGATTGTATAGGTGTTCTGAATAAAGATTTAACTCTCAAGAATTTGTCAAATGATTTTAAAAAGGCACAGTACAGCTAGACCTAACTTATCAACAATCATTTATAAAGCTAGAGCTGCCAACAAAGCTGAACACAGCCCAACTTAACTATATGGAAAAAAATATAGACCATTATTGACAGTAATGAGGTTTACTTGACATCAGTTCCAACCTTGGATTCTAGCTTCTCTATTTTTCACTGTGTGTTTATGTCTGCATAGCTGGTGAGTGTGAGATATTTTGGGAGGGGGAGGGGCTGTTTTTTTTACTGTCAGGCATGAGTTTTATTTTTGTTTTTAGGACAAGGTTTTTTGCTGTGGCAATCTTAATGTACACCTGTGCCTATGTAAAGATAACACTTCATACATTAGGATAACAAAAGCCGTTTTCTCATATGAAAAGAAACTCTGGACAGTGTCAGGAGAATCAGGTCTCGACATTGTTTCTCTTTCGAATGTAGCATACGACAGGAGACTGTATGTGTCAGAAGCGTTCTCACCTGCTGGAAATACTCCATGTTATATAGGCTAGAGCATGCAGGAGGCAGGACATGATGCAGATTACACTGCAGTCATATAGCCTGTTCTTAATTTGGTCATAAACAACAGCGTCTCTTCCCATTCCTTGAATTTGTCTGGCAATGTTGGCTTCAGCCAATCTCGTCATCTTTCTGCTACACATAAATTACCCGTCTTCTTCTTTGCATGTTTTCTGTTGGTTTTGCTTCATGAACATGCCTACTTGCTTGCTATGAATTCTCTGGTCAATGACCTGCTCTAGTCACAATCGGCTCATTTGGACATAACACAGACTTTGTGCTAGGGAACTAGCAGGATAATGTGCACTTAATGCCCGATCCAACTGATTCAGACATTTGCATTCTCACATATAGGTCCTCCTGGTAATGTCTAGATAATTTCAGGTTTGCAGTGCATGTGTGAAAGGAGCTATACATGGTAGATGTACCTGCACTTGTACAACACTTTTCTAGTCTTCCAACCACTCAAAGAGCTGTTTTACACTTTCACCCATTCACACACACATTCACATACTGGTGGCCAAGGCTACCATACATGATGCCACCTGCTACTCAGAAACCATTCACTGCACACACACACACACACACACACACACACACACACACACACACACAAATGGAACAGCCATTGGGTGCAGTTTGGGGTTCAGTATCTTGCCCTGGACTGAAGGAGTCCAGGGCTTGAACTGCTGACTGGAGGAGCTGGGGATCTAGCAGTTGACTTTCCAATTAGTGTTCAACCCACTCTATCTTTCAAGCTACAGCCACCCCATTCAGTCCCACATATAAACTGGGATCAGTCCTACTGCAGGCCCACGTTTTGACAAGGTTTTTGTATGAAAGTTTGTTTTTCTTTATGTTTTAGACTTGGAAAGGAATCAATCCATTTTTATGTTGTGGTTGTTATTTTGATCAGTTTTTTGTTTTAAACTTGATATTGATATAGTATGTTTTTATCCCTATTTTGGTATTTTCAATTGACCTGAAAATGAAAAAAAAAGGTTGACATTGCCTTAACGTATGACAGTCCTGTTGGAAGCCATTGGGACATAAAATCTCATCAGCAGTGCTTTCTGAGAAGGGAATTATATTGAGGAGTATTGTCGGGGTATTTTGCCATGAATTATATTCGCTGTGTCTCCACTGCTCCGCTTTTCTTGGTGCCTTGGAATCTCTCTTAAACCTCTTAACTTTTGAGAGCATTGTGTGTGTGTGTGTGTGTGTGCGCGCGCGCGCCCATTTGTCTGAAAATGGTCATGCTTGTTTTTGGGAGTGCATGATGGCATGCCTACTGCTTGTCATTTGTGGAGCCATAACTCATTTGCTGCCTGATCTCTCAGGCCCGACTTATATGGCAGTCTATTCTATATTTATGCAAGTGAGTAGGAGCATAATTCTGTTAGCCATACAGTACACTTGTCCAAATGTAATTTGGCACTCGCAACAATAGAACATATTCCATCACCAAGACAAGATCATTTCTTTCCTCTTAACCCCTCCTGGGGTTGACTCGGGCCTCCTGTCTAAATGGTCCTGCTATCCATCCCACAGTGAAGCCTCTGCCCAGCCTTCCCAAACTGGTAGAGGCCATTTGGACCCTAGTTTGCTCTCAAAGAACAAATTGCACTGTAGTTAAGTATAACTTTTAATCCTGCTACTCTTTGCTTATGATCCTTGATCATGGGTGCTGAATGTCACAAGACAGGATGTTTATCCAAGGTGTCTCACTCCAAGCACCTTATACATACACGCACATCCTTGTTAGTCCAGGATTATGTTTTGTGAACACAAGCTGAATCCAAGATGAAACCTAAGATTGTTTTCTAAGTTTGTGAAGCCTTCCTTAGCTTCTTCAGTCACCGATGCACAGAGGGTAGAAAAATAGTGTAAACAGAAACTGAAAAGGACTGACGTAACTTCACAGTTACAAACAACAAAAATCTGTCCTGTCGGTATCACTACTGTAAACATACTAAAGGCAAAATCATACTCAAAAGACAGGCTGAATTATCCATGGGATAATTGGCACAGGCATTGATGAAAAAATGCATTAATTATTTAAGATGTATGGGACTCTAACTCACTTAAGACAGCATACCCAACACAGATAAACTGCATTAGAAAGAGGATCAGTGGACCTCAGTTCAAAGAACTTAAAGGGAAACTATGTCTATTTTCAAACTTCATACATGCAGTTCCCATGGTCTAAGACAGTCCAAAAATGTTAGTAATCATGAACAACTCTCTCCCAAATCCAAAAACTAGAATGCTAAAACTCAAATTTGTGATGTTAAAGGGTATAAAATGTGGACCTGCTCCACAGACAATGAATTGGGAGAGATGTTTATAGATGACACTGAAAGCAGCCAGGGGAAGTTGTGCGTATACAGGGACATTTTTATGTTCCACAATTGAGAACACTACAATAGAATAAAGTTCATTTAGGTGTAACAACAAAGAAAAGAAACATTCTGTGGGTAGAGTTGTTCCTTTACCATTATCTGAAATGCCTCTGATAATGCTGGATGGGGTATCCAGCATTTGCTGTTATAAAAGTGCATGCACCGATCCGATATCATGTAATTTATCTATGAACTTTAAAGTAGTTTCAGACCTGGATACAATGGCAGTTTTCTCTAAAACAGTAGCCTTCACAGAAAAATGCGCTGTGCAGCCACTGGCAATTACTGTCTTACAGCAGTAAAGAATAAAAAAAAGTAAAAGAAAGTTCTATGGAGCTCATTCTCTGTATTTGTTGTTTTACAAATGGATTAAAATAAGCCATACGACAAAGATTGTAATCATTTCATATTCATACAGGGTTTGTAGTATTTAGCTGTTAATTTTTTTGGAGCAATGGTATTGGATTGGTCCTTGGTATTGACTGATATGCAAGTTTAGGAAATGGAGTCAGTATCAGGATGGAAAATGGTATCAGAACATCTCTATCTGTGGAGCCACAAAATCAAGCTCCCATTCATCATGCTTGGAGCAGCTCCAGACATTATACTTGATGACATCACAAGTGTGAGACATAAGAGTAGCTCATGTTCACAAATACTGATTGAACTTTCCTAGGCCATGGAAATAACATATTGGAGTTCTTAATTTAGGTGTAGAACTTCTATAATAGGGATGACTTAAATGTGGAGTGACTGACAGTGCTAGATATGCAACCTAATGTGGCTAGCTTACATAACT